ATTTATTTATTAAGAATGTAGTTGTTTACGAGAGGTGAGTCGATTATGTCCTGACAAAGGTAAGACGGTTGGGTAATATTCGTAGTTCTGTAAGAACAATTGCCTACCCTTGGTATGGAACAAAGTAAATCCGTTAAAACTTCCCTCCGCTCGTTTAATTATGTTCCAGCCAGGCATGCATTATGTATTTCACTTTGTCGTCGGCTGAAGAAACCATCTCCGAAGTTTGTCTTCTCGCGGAACTCCCGCGTTTCCAATTGTAATGTACGACTTAAAATGAATTATCGATAACTCTTTCAAAAATCTTGGGAGATATGAAACGTTCTAACTTTCTTAACAAAGAGCGAAGTAACTGGAGGGGAATCAAAGTTGTCCTGGATATAACGTGACTGGGATTCACCAAGAGCGACCATATTTACTCCCCCCTCCGTTTATTATTAATTCTTATATTTTGAATCAACGGGGTAGTTCACCCCTTCCAGTCCCTTAAATATTGCTTCTTATTTTAGTAACTTCACTCATTGCTGTTTAACTTCAGTGATCGGACGAGAACTGGTGCTTTGCAACATAGAATGATCGTTGACAATAAATGTTGGAATTAGTCGAGTTGTAAAAACCTGGGAGCACACTTTGATTGGTCAACCGCTGTATTTTCTGTGTGAGCCACGAATGGCGTGGATCAGTGACCGATTGAACGGTCACATTCGTGAGCGGTGAAGGGGAAATCTTTGGTAAACCGAATCGAAGATCGCACACCCGTTGGTCATTGATTCCTTGAATTTTTGGCGGCACACCTAACGATCCCAGAGGGTAGGTGGGAGGGTCGGTAAGGGTTGATGATCGTCAATGGAGCAGATGGGTCGAGTCTTCAGGTGAAAAGGCCAGGTTGCACGTGCACGGGGATCGCTCGGCTCGTTTCAGACTCAGCCAGGCGCGAGTAAGGCACTTTGAAATGAGATAGGTTCGTTATTTTGATAGCCGCCTCGTTCCTCGTGCATCCCACGATCGCGCACGCTTTACCAAACGGATTAACCGTTGCGACCGAAGTTCGAAGTCGTGAAAAGTTCGCAGACTACCGCTCGTTTAACTTAGCTCGATTCCAAGCTACGAGGAGTATAGCGATGGGATTAAAAGTTGCACGATTATTATCTTAGAGCCACCATTTTATCAACTGATACATCGAACATGTCATCTCGTGCGGATGTACTAGTAATTTGATGTTAGAACTGATTATGCAAAAAACGTTCAAATAAAACGGAGTATTTGATTATGACAGATGGTTTTTATGGTGGTTTTGTTTTTTCATGTTCGATGTAACAGTTTAATTGTTTATGCGGTTTTTCAGGATCCATGGCTGGGATTAGGGCAGTTTTGCCCCTTAAGTATTGTTTCTTCCAGGACTCAAGGTTGCTTATTCTTAAGATCGTCTTCAGCATTTACTATCCCTGTCTATCCCATGTTTCCAGTCCCTGTCTTTTACTAGCCTGAAGACACCTAATCGTTAATGATTATATCGGTGATTTATAAAGTAGCCCGAAGCATTAATTCATCATCATTATTTCATCATTGGACACTAGTGTCTTCCAATTGAGTGAGTGGACATTATGCATGTCTGAGTGTTTTAAGAAAATTGTGAAAAAGTGGTGTGACGAAGTGGATAAGAGTGCAGATATGAGTGGAAAAAGAAGTATTAAAGATGGAATGAAGAATGGAAGAAGTATCAAAAATGGAAAAGAACTAGTATTAATAATTTTAAGCGAAAACTTCAAATGTCATTGGGTACCTTCGGTAGACATATGCCAATCTTCAGAGTCGTTAGTCTTACGATCGTCTTAAGCATTTGCTATCCCTGTCTATCCCATGTTTCCAGTTCCTTATACAGGAAACAGGGACATAAGCAATTGCTTAAATTAAGTTAAGTTAAAGCGGTCTTAAATATAAGTAACGACTCTGAATACCAAAATGTCGATGTCTGCCTGGTTGCCCTAAGAAGGGGCCGAATCCTTCCTTGAAAGCTGTACTAGTAGCCAAAGTATAGTTCAAATGTCAGACATTTTAGCGAATAATTTCGACTCTGTGGTTAATTTATATATCAATATTTCGCCATTAAGAAATGAAGCTCGTTTCGTTGACTTTGGTACCGATTGACTTATGATTAATGTAGGATTTAGAGTCAAAAGCAATAATTAAAAGCTGATGCTTACAATTAATTTAAGCATGATTTATAAAATCTAAGCAAAACCAAGTTATGTTGGTCACGTGTAAATACGCCATTTTCGTTACCGATGGAGTATCACGTTGCACTTACGACCTGATATAGCTTGCGGAAAGCGAGCGAAGGACTCCTAAACGTGCAACACGCCGGTGTATCGGTTCTCTTAGACATCACCTCGAGCATGTAATGCACCTATGAAACCCAGCCTACCCTAAACGCGTATCCTTCTCACCGGGCGCTGTTTATGGATCTGTGAACAATTTGAAAAAAGCTCCGTTCGATTGGTTAGCTACTCGAAATATTTTCATCGGCCAACATTTCCGACTATTCAGAGTAACCGAGCGTGTTCCACCTTCGGGTTTCGCTCTTTCTATTTTCATATTCGATTAAGAACTCTCTCTCTCTCTCTCTTTAAATTCAGCAGAATTTTTGTTTGCTGTTCGTTAAGCTGAATCCGATGGATTCCTTCTCATTATACGAGCCCATTGTTACATAAAAATTACACAAATATTTATGTA